TGTATTATTTATAACAATTCTGTTCTTGTATTTTTCATAAAGATCCTGTTCTTGTATTATTTATAACAATTCTGTTCTTGTATTTTTCATAAAGATCCTGTTCTTGTATTGTTCATAAAAATCCTGTTCTTGTATTGTTCATAAAGATCCTAAAAAATCCGATCAACAAACGTATTGGTGAGAAGAAACAAAAATAAGCAAATTGTACGGAAATACTTTGAACGTGCGATTTGGAAATTCGTTGTAATACTGGACAAGATCTGGGTGTATCTTAATAAGCAGAAGAGAAAATGGGAAGATTTACTACTTCCAGTGATGTGTATGATAAAGACTTCCCAACATTTACAGAAAGGTTTTAAGATGGTGCAAAGTAAAAAGAAAGAAAAAAAGTGAACTTTAGTTATTATCAATAGAACTTATTGACATCAGATATGCGAGATGGCGTTCCTGCAACCCTAGAACGACCTTGGAAAATAAAACCAGTGCCCATATTAACCCGAATGCATAACCACGGACTCCTAAACGTTTAATTCCCTTAAATATAGCGTTCAAAAGTGACATCCGCACTCAGTGGAGAGCCTGTGGAAAGTCTGTCAAAATGAGTTGTGTCAGGTTTGACCGCACCAATTTTGGGAAAAGTTGTTAGAAAGAAAATTATGGTATAAAGCTGCAAGGCCATCATACGAAACCCGGTTCCTGTTGAAGAAAGTGGTATAAAGATTACATTTGTTTCTTAAATTTCGCGTAAAGCTACTCGAAGGCTATCTGCGCTAGACGTCCCTAACTTACAAGTGATAGACTATAGCGTAAGTAGCTAGTCAACACTGCCCACCGCCAACTCCTGGGCTACTCTTGGTCAAGGAAAAGTGGGACTGACCGTCACAAAATAATGCTCCTACGGCTAAAAGGGTGAGCACATTCGGTGACAGAATTCGGACTCGCGACCCACATATTGTGAGTACAGCTTCCTAACCACGGGAAATCACGGAACTAGGCTGTGGTGTCTCATCATGGCCATCATACCAAGCACGATGCATGTTGGAGAAAGAGACTTCAAAGGGCGGAGATTTATATAAATTTAAACACAACACCTCCCTGCCCCTAAACAACGGTTCATTACAAGTTTACTGCAAGTTTAGCCACGTGAATATAAATGAACAAACTCTATATTAATTAAAGTACCAACTTAGGATGAAACAATATATCATCCCTCTTTGCACATTGTACACTCAATTTTTTTCTACATTTGTGAAGCACGTAACACTGCAATTATTAAACTTAACTCCTAAAAAACGTATAAGGTAAGCTTTACCTATTTATTGGAATTGTTACATTACATATTAAAAGTAACAATTAAATACTGAAGATTTTCCAAATATTATTGGACAAAGAACAGTGATCAGAGTGAGTAAATATGAAAGTTACTAGAGCGAAAAATTTCAGTGTTTTTGAGAATCTGATGAAAGACCTAAATTTACACTTTTTTTCTGTGATATAAGATATTTCTTGATAAATAACTTTTACATAAACACTAAATATTGTTTATATTGTAATATAACAAACTACTAGCTCGTACTTGATGCCAAAGTCGATAATACGGAAAATTTCGTATCATCATCGACTTTCATCAGTTCTGACAAGACGATGATAAAGAACATCTTTCAACGACGTTTCCTTTCGTTTTAGGTGTGGGAATTTATTTTGAAGTTACGAAATGTCGAGTTGAGGTGTTGCACAATATACACCACAGGAAGGTTAAGAAACCCTGAGTGCTGGGTCTAATAGTAGGCTGAAAAGTTTTAAGACACTCTTTCGTAATGAAGATTTGTGAACAAAGACTACATCAGATCAATACTGTTGTTCAATAAAACTCTGTGATCTTTAGGAAAATACTGTAAACCTGACCCCGTGGATTATCTCCCTGTAACTTAAGTCTTAAAATTACGTACGTATAAGAGAACGCCTTACGTGTTTACATTTTCCAACCTTTTATACTTGAAAAAGAAAATGTTATGACTAAAACAATATATTTGTTTAATTCATATCTAGATGGATACCATATGTGTAAAATAAAGGTTTACTGATGAATCTAAGTAGAATGGACGTCAACTGCCTGTTGTAGAGACACAAGTTTAGAGGACGACGTTTCGAAAGTCTTCCGCCTGAAGACGAAATGCGGAAGACTTTCGAAACTTCGTCCTCTACACTTGTGTTTCTACAACAGGCAGTTGCAGTCCATTCTATAAAGTTTCATCATGAATACTCTGCCTAAACAATCTATCAAAGAAAGGTTTACTACTTCAACCAATAGTTATCTATTTTTGATAAGTTGGATCACATTGAAAGGGTCTCTCAGGTGAGAATTTTATAGATAATATTAAACAGATTTTTATTTTTATTACAGGTGGCCCCTTCATTAATTTTACTCCTTGACTTATGGCCCCTTCTACAATGTTATACCTTTACTTGTGACCCTTATACTTATGGCCCCTTATACCATATTACTCCTTTACTTATGGTCCCTTCATACCTTTACTCCTTGACTTATGACCCCTTCTACCATATTATCCCTTTACTTGTAACCCCTTCTACCATATTATCCCTTTACTTGTAACCCCTTCATTAACTTTACTCCTTGGCTTATTACGCGTTCATCTTGCAGATTAATACGTTTTATTACCCTTTGATTACTTAGCAACGGGTAAATTAAAATAATTATTAAATTAATATATTTTCGTAGTTCCTATAAAACGAGTAATTAAAAGTGAATTGTCTAATAAGTGTTGTCATGATCGACGGTGGCGCCGCCTTCAGATGGACGGCTCATTTTTAGGACCACTGTATATTTATATTTAAAATAAGATGTCTGTAAGATAATATATCTCTGTACATGTAGCAGCTATGATTGTATATTTTCCTCTGCTTTTATTTCTCATCCGCCCATTCAAACTAGTACAACGAAACGTCTTATCATATATTTAGAATACAAAGTCAGGAGAACAATAACGATTAAAGTTGCACGACTTTTGCCCTTTTTTTATCACAATCAACCAGTTTCATAAACAGTAATGAGTGGTTAAACACTATAGGTTTTTGTTGAAACAAAAACAGCTGTTTATTCTGTAAAACAGCAGTATTTATTCTATAAAACAGCAGTGTCTATTCTATAAAATAGCAGACAGCAGTGTTTATTCTATAAAACAGTAATATTTATTCTATAAAACAACAGTATTTATTCTATAAAACAGCAGTGTCTATTCTGTAAAATAGCAGTATATATTATATAAAACAGCAGTGTTTATTCTATAAAACAGTAATATTTATTCTATAAAACAACAGTATTCATTCTATAAAACAGCTACCCCCCCCCCCCCAGTGGCACAGCGGTATGTCTGCGGACTTACAACGCTAGAATACGGGTTTCGATACCCATGGTGGGCAGAGCACAGATGGCCCATTGTGTAGCTTTGTGCTTAATTAAAAACAAAACTATAAAACAAGCCGTATTTGTTCTATAAAACAGCAGTGTTTGTTCTATAAAACAACAGTGCTTATTCCATATTGGATGCCGACGATGTTATCATACTATATATATATATATATATCATGTTACAAGGATTGTGAACTTTAGTACTAGATAAAATGTTATTCCATCCTTTATACAACTCTAGTTTTTACTTCGGCTGTTTATCGAGGTAGAGTTGTATAAAAGATGGAAATAACATGTTATCTAGTACTAAAGTTCACAATCCTTGTAACATGTTTTACTTCGGCTGTTTATCGAGGTAGAGTTAAAAGATCAATTATGATACATATAGCTGGTTGTTAGTGTGTAGCTCGCTTTTTATCTTCATTCGCTACAATGTCTTGCATTTATTACTGCGCGATTTTGAACAGTGATTTTAATAACAATATCTTCGCGTTTCGACCTAGATAGCACGTCATTATCACACTGTGTTACACATTATAA